CAGTAGAGACCGCTGCAAGCCAGCCACTAGATCCCAATGGTCATATCCACCTACTAGAAGGCCTCCCAGCCTCTGGTTTCCTGTTTTATGTGGATGAGCCAGGACCAAAGTTGGAGGCACTGGTAGACAGGGTTTGCCAGGTCACCAATTACCTCGTTGACCGGGAGATTGCACATAACTTATTTGTGACCCGGGGGGCTCCACCTGGAAACCCACCATCCTCATTGGCCTATGCTGGTGTCCGGGTCATCCTCTGGGCCCGGAAGTCCAGCTTTGGGGTTAAAGAAGGGGAGGCTTTCAATGTAGCACTCTGTGAGCTGGCAGGACACCTGCCTGTTAAAACATTCCAGGATTTCCAAAGCTTGACGGAAGCTTCAGCTCTGAATCTCATTCAGCAATCTCTCCTGCCTCCATCCCAGTTTTTACAACTTCAAGAAGCACTGGTGTCCCTTCTGGCATAGCATAGTAGGTGCTTTCCCTGGTTGATATTTCTTTTCTAATTCATCTTGTTCCTCCTTTGAGTGTTTCTCTTAAGTCATGACTGCTCAATGTTTTTAGGCTATAGTACAAAAAGCCCTCCACATTCTCACTTCCAACCTACTTTTCCAGACTTACTTCAAATTAATTCCCTACATACCTTCTAATTGTCAGCCAAACTGGACTCCTAGCCAGCTGTTGAGCCCAGTATTCCCAACCCCACAGTTCCACATATCCCTCAAATGCTTGGAATGCCCTCCCTGTTCATTGCTGCCTTTCACAATCCGTGCTTTCCTGCAGCTTAGGTGCTGTTTCCTCCATAAAACCTTTTCTGATCCATTCCCCATCCGGTTTGTGTTCTCTCCTTCCTCGTTATTATCTTGTATTGTTTATTTGTGTACATGAATCTAAGTTCCTTGAAAGCAGAGACAGTACCCTGTACAGCACCCATGCTTAATAAATTTCTTGAATTCTGTTGGTGTAACAAGTATGTACACATACATGCACACACACATTCTCTCTCTGTCTTTCTCTCCCTCCCTCTCTCCCGCCCATCATGGGGAGGAGGAATCTGTTCAATAAACCCTCATGGCTCTTTCCGTATCTGTCACTGCTTTCGACTTGATCTTCTTCAGAGCTGGGCTGGGAGAAGTTAAGTACGGGACCCACAGATAACGATCCGGGGGGTGCAAGCCCCGGCCCTCCAGCCGCTGCCCGAGGGCCGTGTAATAGACAAGCCCCCCCACAAGCCCGTAAGCGCCCGGCCGCGAGGGCTCCGCACATCTACACAGGGACCCGCCTCGAGACTTTGGCGACGTTCTGGAGTTTGGCTCCCTAGAAACTACAAGTTCTAGCGTGCTTTGTGGGCAGTTCGGAAAGACGAGCAAGTTCGCGAGGCGGCCGCCGCGGCCCTCTGGGAGGTCGTGAGGGCCTGCCTCTGAGTGGAGTCCTCTTTCTGCCAAGCCTAAGATGGCCGCGGCCAAGGCCAGGGTGGGTGTGGCTGAGGAGAGGAAACCCCGCCCCTCCAGAATGCTTCTCCAAGGCGTGTCCATGGCGACAGCGGAGGCGGCGGCGGCGGCGCTGCGAGCCTGTGGAGGCGCCGCCGCCGCCGGGGTCTCAGTGCTAGGTGAGAGCCTCGGGGAGGGAAGCGGGTTCCCCTCCGGAGCGCCAGGAGGTGGTCCCCCACAGCCCGGGAGACGGACGAGTCAAGCGCTGGGCGAGGGGAGGGGATGAGAATTCAGTCAGGCCGCTCCTAAGCGCTAGGGGGCGCCGCGACCGCCCCCTCCCCCCACTGAGCCTCTAGTGCTTAGCATCTTTTCACCCCTTCCTATTAAAAGTTCTCCTGCCCTTCCTTCCTCGCCAGCATCCCCTGCCCTGCCCGGACCGGCCGCGGGGAGGCGCCCCGCAGTCTCCGCTCCCTCTGCATCCCGGCACGTTGGGTCCCTCGCCGGCCCTCGCAAAGCGAGCGCGGCAATGGTCCCATCCCCTAGTTCACAAGCAGGCGTCCCTACACGTCTGTCCACCTGAATCTATACTTTATGTGTGTGCGTATAGAGAACACAAGCCATGGGACTAGCTGGAGACAAGTCAGTGTCGGGGCAGCCCTTCCTAACCCCTTGTCTGGGTACTTTGCCTCTGCTGCAGAATCTAGAAGCATGGAGAATGCTGTCCGCAAAACTAGTGAATCAGAGGAAGACTATGTCGAGGAAGAGGAGTCAGAGGAGGAAAATGTTAAAAGGGGCATAGGCCCCTCTAATGCTTCACAGCAGAGCAACACAGAGGCAGGTGGGAATGGGGCCCTCTCTTCCATTGTCAAAAAGTTGCAGAAGAAAACAGCTCCATCTGAGCCAGAGGACTCTGATGTTGGGAGGAAAAAGAGACGGTGGAAAAGAAGGTAATAATAGTTCCCTGCAACTTCTATCTACTTGCTAGGCTTTCGGGGATCCCTGTGGTAAGGCCACTTGAAACCAGATGTTTTATCCATCACCCCTCTAGTGAAGAAATAGGGAAGATGGGAACTTCACACTTTCCCCCCCTTAGTTTATCTATTTTCATAAGAACTGCTTGGATGTTACAATACAGTAAACATTTATTAGATTGCCTTTTATGTGCCCAACACTGCCAAGTACTGAGGAAGATTTGTGGAGAGGACAGTATTTAAGTTAAGCTGTAATGGATGGATAGGAATTCAAAAGACAAAGAAGGGGAGAGTGAAGGAAGTATTTTTAGTATTGTAAATAGGTTGAGCAAAGGCAGTAACGCCATACTTTTGTGTAGTAAGGGCAGCCCAGTCTATCTAGAAGAGTGCAAGAAAGTTAGAATGACCCTCAGATTAAGAAATATTTTAAATGCCAGGCAATGACTCCAAGCTTTTTTCAATTCATTTAAAATGCTTGTTGAACTGAACTTTTAACTTTATTTAATAGGCAATGGATAACCACTACTAAGGATCTTGGAGTAGATGTGTAGTGGAACCAGCTATATACATTAGATTATTCTGGCAGCATTATGAAGGATGCTTTTGAGGATGCAGAGGGTGGGAAGACCAGACAGGTGGTGATGCAGGTCTGTCCTAGGGATAGTGTTAGTGGGAGTAGAGAGGTTGGTGACATGTAACAGATGACATGGTGGTGGAATGAACAAGTTTATGGTAACTAATTGGTTATGAGAGGTGGTCAAATCTGAATTTTCCTTTATTGAGACTGCTGGCATTCTGGTCTTTCTCCTGTGGCCTCCATAGAGAAGAGAATTTGGTTAGCTCTTCAGGTGTCCTATCTGGGGACCCAGATCTACCCACCTAGCTACTCCAAGGGTCAGTTTTCCCTTCTGTCCCATTTTTAAACTTCACTTGATTTCATATCTCCCTCCATTGCAGGCTCTTGACTATCAACCTGACCAACTGCAAGTATGAAAGTGGTAAGAACTTTTTTGTTGTTCGTTGTGTCTGACTCTGCATGACCCCATTTGGGGTTCTCTTGGCAAAGATACTGGAGCTCTTTGCCATTTCCTTCTCTAGCTCATTTTACAGATGAGGAAACTGAGGCAAACTGGGTTAAGTGACTTGCCCAGGATCACACAGCTAGTAAATGTCTGAGGCCAGATTTGAACTTAGGTCTTCCTGAGTCCCATCGCTCTGTCCGCTGCACCACCTCGCTGCTCTCAATAAGAACTTTTACCTTTCTCTAAAACAGGGCTTCTCCAGTATGCATGTTGCTACTATAAATACCCATCATAGTCTCCAAAAGGCAGGGTTTGTCAACAGGAAGGTTCCTGCTAAGTTGTACTGGTTAATACTGATGTTATAACCTTATATATGCTTATAACCTTAATGTCGGAGTATGCTTCAGCTTTCAAGATCAATCATTCCACAAACGAATAACTAAATTATTTAACTAAGCACAAAATACTGTGCTAGGTGTCTTGTCTTTAAGAAGCTTCAAGGGTAGGAGGAGAGAGAGGTTCACAAGAGATTATAATACAGAATGTATAATCATAAGAGAAGTACAACAAAAGGGCAAAAAGTTCACAGGAGGGAGACGTCACTAACTGAGACCACGGAAAAGACATTGAAGACATTACACTTTACTTGAGCTTCAATAAATGGATAGGACTATGTCAGACAAAGATGGGTAGGGGGTCAGAAAAACTCGTGGTTTTTTTTCAGGCAACTGGGGTTAAGTGACTTGCCCAGGGTCACACAGCTAGTAAGTGTCAAGTGTTTGGTCTGAGGCCGCATTTGAACTCAGGTCCTCCTGACTTCAGGGCTGGTGCTCTAACCGCTGTGCCACCTAGCTGTCCCAGAATAATTGTTTTTAGGATAGAGGAGAGAGATGGGTAAGTTTTCAGATAGAAGTCAGTGGTGAAGAGATGACTGATATACTGAGATATCCCAGATGAGACAGGAAGGATGGGATGAAGACATAAGGCAGTGTGGTATAGTGGAAAGAATGTTGGATTTGATGTCAAAAGTACCTGCGTTTAAATCCTGACTATTCCACTTACAGGCATGTGAGGCCTTGGGGAAGTTGCCTAATCTGTCTGTGTCCCCATTTACTAAATAAGAGGGGGTAAGGATAGACTAGATGATTTTTAAAAGTTCCTCACAGCTCTAAATCTCTGAATGCTAACAATGTTTACTGAATGAATGGATTATGTAGACTGGCTGTAGGTTAGCATTTGACAGCTGATATGATAGTCAAGGGGAATAATCAATATCACAGGTTATATGTAGAAATTATCAGGTTTGATAGTTCCCAGAGAAATGAGTCCCCCTAATAGGACCTAAGTACAGTCTAGCCATTGCCCATCCAGAAACTGAACTGAGAACCCAACTCTTTTTACAAAAAATGTTATCAGGGCAGCTAGGTGGTACAGTGGATAGAACACTGGCCCTGGAGTCAGGAGGACCTGAGTTCAAATCCGACCTCAGACACATAATACTCACTAGCTGTGTGACCCTGGGCAAGTCACTTAACCCCATTGCCTAGCAAAAAAAAAAAATGTTATCACCAATATGGCTCACCTTCCCAGCCAAACTCTAATATGAACCAAGGGAGAAGAAGTAATTGGGACAACAGTGCTTCTACTGAAGAATGTAGGAAATAGGCATGCCAGGTTTGTTAGGGAGGTGATAAGGATAGATGATAAAGGCCTAGGAGAAATCATAGCACTGCCATGACCTTCCCATTTTTATTTGACTGAAATAAAGTTAAATAAACATCAAGAACAGCCTGCAAAGAAAAAAGGAATAAAAAAGGGGAGGACAGAATAAGGGAGTACCTGGATGATGGGAGTTCATAAACTCACTGCCATATTAATAGTGGGTTTACCAATGATTGTTTGAGCTTCAAGTCTTTTTTAATGCCAGCTGAGAGGTACCCTAGTGGTAACAGGTCTTTGTCCTGAGCTCTCTAAAGCACAGGGTTTGAGGACAAGGCTCTTGTTCTTTAGGGACAGCTCCGAAGAATAGTCCTAGTTCATTGGCTGGGGTAACTCACAGCTGACTAAGGTAGAGTCAGGTTTTTAGTTTCTCTGCTGCAGACAGATCTTGGAGAAGAAGTGCTCTGATGGAATAACAGACATAGGAATATCATATGTTAAACTACAGTGTTGAATCCACCCCTCACTCATAATAAGCATTCTTATTCTTCTCCATACTGAGATTTAGGCAGTGGCTACAGTCTCTTTTCTCTGTTTTACATGGCATGTGCCTTGAAGGTCAAAGTCAGGACTTTTCTGTCCTTTCAGTTCGACGAGCAGCTCAGCTCTGTGGCCTGAAGGAGGTGGGGGAGGATGAGGAATGGACAGTGTACTGGACTGACTGTTCTGTCTCACTGGAGCGAGTTATGGACATGAAGAGGTTTCAGGTATTAACTACTTCGGAAGAGACACTAGGGGAAGGGGGCTGTACTACTACTGCATAGGTTCCCAAAGTGGGTGATACTGCCCTATAGGGGGGCTCTGGAACCATTCAGGAGGTAGTAGTAGCCTCAGGTGCAATTGGGGGGTGTTGAATAAAAATAAGGGTTAATCTAACCTAACCTCAGGGGGGCACTAATTTTTTTAAAAGGGGGCGGTAGGACAAATAAGTTTGGGAACCTCTGCAGTGGAATATCTACTCCCGTTGGTGCACAGGATAACCAAGAGTACACTTTTTTCCCTTTGTTCAGTACTTCAATGATAGGGTTTCAGGGAAAACCACTCCCAGAAACTTCTGGGGAATGAATCTTTGGTCACTAGGGATTCTATATACCATGATGAGGTTTCAGTGAGGCGACCTAGACACACACACACACACACACACACACAGTAGATTGAACATTTATTGAGCACTTACTGTGTGCCAGGCACTTCTAGGAGCCATGAGATATCAGTAAAGCACTTTGTGAACTTTAAAATGCTATATAAATTCTAACTATTGTTTTTATTATTACATCCATCTTTACCTCTAAATCCAAGGATTTGCTTCTTTTGCTTCATTGTTTCCAAATTGTCACACCCCTCCCCCCATCCCCAGTGCTTGGAATTATTTTTGGCACACTGAATGCCATTTTCTCCCTAAATGATTGGTGATCTTACAAAATCCCTTTAGCTGTAGTTGTTATTTTCTTTTCCTCTTTTGTTTCCTTTTGAATTCCTAAGAACCCTTGCTTACTTTGTGTTCTAACCATATACCAGTTATACTGGAAGAACCAACCCCTTTTAGAGCCAACATGTTGGAAGGGACCTAGAGGGACGAGGGTTATGAATGTAAAGGGACTGTAACGAATCTATTTCCCTTCACCTTACATTCCCTAGCCTTGTCGTATGTCCTGGGCAGCATGGGTGGTTCTTCTTTCTAGTGTCTGAGACACCTACTATAAAGTACACCTCTCTTGCAGCACTGCTACCTTCCCTGTGTTCTCTGTATCTCTCCTCTCTCCATTTTCCTTTACTGCTTCTGCTAATGTTTAAATCTCAGGAGCTAACACCCACTTTGCTTAGAGGAACCTGGCTGGCCCTGTCTTTTTTAGAAAATCAACCACTTTCCAGGAATGACAGAAATCTGTCGCAAAGATCTTCTGGCCCGAAATCTCAATCGTATGCACAAGCTCTATCCCTCTGAGTATAATATCTTCCCCCGGACCTGGTGCCTTCCTGCAGAGTGAGTAAAATTTGGCCTAATGTTGACATAGACTAATAGCAGAATGTATTCTCTGTGCCCCTTTCAGACTCATATTGTTATGTTAGAATGGCACACAGAGATAAAAATTAGGAGAGGAATTCAGCTGGCCAGAGAAAAACTGAGCTGAGAATGGGTGTTCTAAGAGAGTCACACAGTGGGACAGCTAGGTGGGACAGTGGATAGAGCACCGGCCCTAAAGTCAGGAGGACCTGAGTTCAAATCCAGCCTCAGACCAAACACTTGACACTTACTAGCTGTGTGACCCTGGGCAAGTCACTTAACCCCAACTACCTAACAACAACAACAACAAAAAGAGTCACACAGTGAATAACAGGAAATGACTCAAAGGATCCTGTGGGTGAGCAGTGACCATGATACCTAGAAGCTTTCTGTGCCACACAGCTACGGGGACTTTCAGAATCATGGACGTCAGCGAAAAACTCATACTTACATCTGTAAGCCAGACAGTGGCTGCCAGGGACGGGGCATCTTCATCACTCGGAATCCTCGGGAGATCAAACCAGGAGAGCATATGATCTGTCAGCAGTACATATGCAAGGTGAGTTTGATTTAGAACCCAGACCACTGACCTCTCATTACCTGTTAGTACCATTTTTTTCTTCACACAAAACTGAATCTGATTGCATCTTCCTAGAATTGTGGGGGAGGGGACTGGTTTCAGCACCCTTTTGCCCTCCACTTTCTTCAGTTTTACTTCTACTGCTTGCTTCTCAGCCCTTCCTTATTGATGGCTTCAAGTTTGATATGAGAATCTATGTCCTGATCACATCCTGTGACCCGCTTCGTGTCTTCATCTATGAAGAAGGCTTAGCCCGCTTTGCTACTATGCCTTACATGGAACCCAGCATCAGCAATCTGGTAGGATGACCTAAAAGGCAGCCCTGAAGTAGAAGTAGGCACACATCAGTGCTCTCGTGTTTCTCCCTCCCCTTGTCAACAAGTTTTTACTTGGAGAAACTTGGAAAAAAATAATTTTCAATTTCTCCCTGTTTACAAGAAAGGATGCCAGAGGGAGATACTCATAATTTGATTTGACAACTTTTCCTGAGAGTAGTATGGGGAAATATCATAGCTGAGAAGAAGAATAATAGTTTGGGGTGAGATGGAACTATTAAAGATAAGTTTAGCAGAATTTAATGCCTTTCTTCCCAGTAGACGGCACTAGTGGAAGGGGAACCACAGAGCCTAAGTGAAAGGGTGGCAGGATCCTTTGGTGAATTTTTAAAGTTATTTGGAAACCCATGGAATATGAATAAGGGTCACAGGCAGAAACTTCTGGGGAGGGGTGGAATAAAGGAGTGCAAAATGGAATTAGGAATATACTTCCTTATATAGCCCAAGAACGTAGAACTGGTTTCTTTACAGGATGATGTCTGCATGCATCTGACCAACTATGCCATCAACAAACATAATGAGAATTTTGTCCGAGATGAGACCACAGGCAGCAAGAGGTACTTCCCCTTTTATCTCCCCCAACTTCTATTATTCTCCCACCCCAGCCCAGCTCAGCCCTGCACAGACACTGTGAAAGTCTCAGTAACCCAAGTAAACGAGTGGTCTCTTTGGAGGCTGGTTTCTCTGGAACACTCAGGAATAGTCTCTCCTACCTCAGGCTCTCTGGAGCCTTTCCCTGCGTATGGCCCATGAATCCTATCTTTGTATCCAACTCAGAAATCATACCCAGATTCCAATCCTCACTCTTAAGAATGATTTCCTTTGAAACCAGAAGGGTATGGGCTTAGTGTTAAGAGAGCTTCCTGAGTCCTCTGAGTACTGGGCCTCACAGGAAGCTGTCAACACTCAATACCTGGCTGAGGGACCACAACTACGAGCCAAAAGAACTGTGGGGGGACATCGAGGACATCATCATCAAGACCATAATCTCTGCTCATTCCGTCCTTCGACACAACTATCGAACCTGCTTTCCACAATATTTGGGTAGTGGCACTTGTGCCTGCTTTGAGATCCTTGGCTTTGATATCTTACTGGACCACAAGCTGAAGCCCTGGCTACTAGAGGTAAGGACAGTCCCCAGGATGTTGAAAAACCAAGATCAAGGGAAGAGTTGATAACTCTGTCCCTGTAAAGCAGTGGGCCACTGGTGTAAGATTTAGGCATGGAGTTAAATGGTTGAGAAGGAAGTGAAGGAAGCTTATCTACATATACATATATTCACCTGTCTGTCTGTCTATCCGTCTATTTATATTGACAAGCTATTGTACGTAGAAAGGAGGAGCTTATGTCTGTGTGGAGTCAAAACTTATCTGGCCCTAACCCCATGCAAATGCTCCTCTTGCCCACCATGTGAAGCCAGATTTGGGATCTTGATTGGTTTATAACATGAGCCTTCCTTTAGTAGGCACAATTTCTTTGCTTTGCCCTTCCTAATTTGTGAAATTTATAGGGACCTTTGTCACAAACTGGTTGTTGCTGATTAAAACCACATTTCTAGTCTGTTCATCCTTAGCCACTGAAAGGGATACCTGTGTAATGACCTATCTGTTATCCCTAGCTTGTCAGCCACAAATGATCCCTAGCGTCTGGGGGGACATAGGCAGGGGATGAGTAATGACTCTTCCTGATAGGTCAATCACTCTCCGAGCTTCACCACAGACTCATGCCTTGACCGGGAAGTGAAAGATGCACTTCTTGGTGATGCCATGAACCTTATCAACCTGCGAGGCTGTGACAAGAAGAAGGTGCTAGAAGAGGATAAGCGGAGAGTTAAGGAGAGACTTTTCCAGTGTCCTCAGCAACCACGAGAGTCCCGGTATTCTGAAGTTTTATGTATGCAGTTACTTGTGTCTGTTAAATCATGTATTTGCCTACCCCATTGGGTTCTTTCAAGAGGGAAAGCTCCTAGCAGGCAGGGACTAGGTCTGGTGTCCATCTTTTCTATAAGTTGGCACAACACTTAATTTCTGATGATAAAGATTGGTAACATAGAAAATGAAGCCATGAATGATGCTGCTGCCCTGAAACATAAAAGCAGCAGAGCATGTTTCCTCTAGTTATGTCCCCCGTATTGGAAAAACAAAAGACAGGACAAAACAAAACAAAACAGATAAGCCGTTGAACGCTAAGTAGATTGGCATTGCCACAATTAGTAAGTCCAGCAATACCAAGTTATGGATGAATTTATAACCTTACAACTAGGGTTGGGCCACAGAAGAGTTTTCTGTCAGGAGGCACATTGGATTTGGTTGACTTAAGTTATCCTTGAGGTGGTTCTGGACTAAGGTTTCAAACTGGCAGGTAGGAAGGTAGGGAGACATGGCTTTTCAGGCTTACACCCTGAATTAAACACTCATGCACACGCACGCTTTCCCTAAACTAAGCATGATTCCCACAGGCGAGAACAGATGGAATCATCAAATGCAGCAATGCTGGACCAGGAGAGGTATGAGAACTCCCACCTAGGCGGTTACCGGCGTATCTACCCTGGGCCAGACACTGAGAAATATGCACCTTTCTTCAAGCACAATGGCTCCCTTTTCCAGGAGACTGCTGCCTCTAAAGCAAGGGAAGAATGTGCCAGGTACATTGCCCAACTTAAAAAACCTGCTTTCATCTTAAACTTTTTCTTTTCTCCTTCCATCTTCTGTTACTCACTGAGACCTCATTCCCTCCTGATGACACATCCTCCCTGGTCACCATTTCCAATACCAGTTGTACTTTCACACATACGCTTCCCTTCCTCCAGCCCCTGTCCCCATCTCCCTCCAAATCTGGTCATGCTTAGAGAATCGGAATACTCCTTGCTCTCCTCATTGCTACTTTCAATCTTCCTCTATCACAGTCATTCAACAGCTTCTCCTACTTTTGAGGTTCATTCAATCCATAATTTATCATACAATAAAGGTTCTGGTAGCTGTTATCTACCAACCTCCTAAGAAGTTCTCTTCCTTTCTTCAGTGAGTTTGGTGCCTGGCTCCACAGTCTTTCTCTCACCTCAAAACTCTTTTTTTTTTTGGCTAGGCAATGGGGTTAAGTGACTTGCCCAGGGTCACCTCAAAACTCTTGCCCTCCTCCTAGGGGATTTATACATATTACCCTCAAACACCCTCATTTCCCATGACCTGCTTCTCCACTCCAGCTATACACAGAGACAGTCCTACCTTTGATCTTGCCGTCACCCACGAGTGTTCACTTCCATGTTCAGGAACTCTGAAAGAGCTTTATCCAAACATCATCATTTATCAGTCTGTCTTTGCTTCATGAAGTCTTTCAACCCCTAACCCTATTCTTTGTCCTCAGTAAGACCTCTAATCCCTCCACCCCTCAGTTCTTTCCCAGGCCACTGGCTACACACTCCTCCTAAGTCCCTTGTTCCCCTTATCCTGTCACATTAATCAAGCTTTGCCAAGCCCCAACTTGGGATTACTTGCCATCATCCACTGCCTTTGCTCCTATTTGTGTGCTGCCAAGTAGAGCTAGAGAAAATCAAGAAAGTGATGACTACTACAAATTTGTGTTACATATTCTCAACTGGGCTCTCACTCTGCAGCAAGGTAATCCTTTCACACTTCCATAATTGATTCATCGGGCTGGTAGGTGGTACAGTAGATAGAGTTCTGGGTCTAGAGTCAGGAAGACTCATCTTCCTGAGTTCTAATCTGGCCCCAGATACTTAATTACTAGCTATATGACTCTGGGCAATTCACTTAACCCTGTTTGCCTCAATTTCTCATCTGTAAAATGAGCTGGAGAAAAAAATGGCAGACCACTGCAGTATCTTTGCCAAGAAAACCCCAGATGGAGTCACTCAGAATTGGACACAACTGAAATGACTGAACAACATATATTCTCTTGCTTGGTGATCTCGTTAGCTCCCATCAGTTTAATTATGATCCCTTTGCAAATGATTCTTTAATCTCTTAGCCAACCCTAATCTCCAGTTTTGCATTTCCAACTGCCTTTTTGAACTTCTCAAATTGGCTATCTTATAGGCATGTCAAACTCAACATGTCCGAAACAGAACTTATCATCCTTTCCCCAAAATTCTCTCTTCTAATACTTCCCTGTCCCCAGGCTTGTAACCTTAGTGTCACCTTCAACTTGTCATTCTCACTTACTCCATATATTCAGTCCTATTGCTAAGTCTTATTGTTTCTACTTTTGTAGCATGTGTCATATTTACATGTGTCCTCTTCTCTGAGGTAGCCACAACCCACACCTTACCCTGGACTATCCTCCACTTAGCTGCCAAAGTGACCCTCTTAAAGCACAGGTCTCAGTATCCTATTGAATAAACTTCAGTGGCTCCCTGTTAACATCAGAATCAAATGTAAAGCCTTCTGTTTGGTTGTTAAAAACCATTCACAAACCTGATTTCTTCTTCCCTTTCTAGGCTTCTTAGAGTTTACTTCCCTCCATGAGTTCTTGCTTATACACAACACTCCATCTTTTGACTCAATGTCTTTTTTACTGGTTGTCCTTCATGACTAGAATGTTCTTCCTTCTTGTCCCTACCCCCGGCTTCCCTCAAGATTCAGCTCAAAACGAGGAGCCTTCTTCAAGAGGGATCCTTTTGTAATTCTTTCCTTCACCCTCACCCCTCCACGAGCTTTCCCTCTGAGATCACCTCCCGTTTTCCAACTATGTAGGTCATAGTAATTTATGTGTTGTATCCCCCATTAGGATGTGAGCTCCTTGAGAGCAGGGATTTTTTTGCCTTTTTTTGTATCCTCAGAGCTTAGCATAATATTTGAAATAGTAAGTTCTTATTAAATGCTTGTTGACTTGACTAATGACTTGATCACACTTCCTAATCACATTAGTATGAAGGAAGAACATTCAAGCTTTTGGGACTTAACCTCTATCCACTGGTTATGTGAGGAAGCCAGACGCTTAAGGAAAGGGGGAAGAATACAGGTGTTCCTTCTTTCAAGTTCTAATTCCTCATTCAAATATAGGTTGTGTTAGCAAGGTTCCCACTGGCTTTTTTTTTCTTTTATCAATTTTGGGAATCCTAGTTTAGAATCTCTATACACATATTCCTCTACTTCCTGTACCTGAGCCTGCTCTGTCTTGCCAGGCAGCAACTGGAGGAGATCCGCCTGAAGCAGGAACAGCTGGAGGCCACAGGCAACAAGAAAAGGAAAGAAAATAAGGATGTCAATCAGGGCGAATCAGCAGGAGAGAAGAACAGGTCCAGGGTAGGACCCAAGGGCCTGCCTGCTCGTTTGAACTACATAAGGTCCAGGAACCAAGAAAAGCAGGTGTCATTGGCTTAAACTAAATCACAGAATCATTTATTCTGAGATCTGGAAGGGGCTTGAAAAGTCGTATAGTCAAAATTCCTCATTTTACAGATGAGGAAACTGAGGGTTAGGAAGGTAAAATGATTTGCTCAAATATTACAACAAATAAGTAGCAGAGATGGACAAGAACCCAGGTCTCAGGACTTCCCTTGGCCTGTTCTTTCCACTATACCAGGCTCCCTTTTCAGTAGTGAAATCAGGAACACAGGAAAATTGTGGGATATTCTAGAGGAAATATATGTTGTCCTATATAAAATAATTTTTAAACTTCTAATTTAATCAGTAAGTTAAGCCTGACCTTCTAGAAAGGAGATTTTGTTCAGGTATAGGAAAGCAATGAAAGAGGAGGGATATTTAAATCTGAAAGGATAAACCTTATATAAATGTCCATTATCAAGGGGAAATTTGGGGTTGTACGAGTAGCATGGTATTTGTCACTTAGTACAGAAAACAGATGAATGGTCAGCCAAGGAACAAGGAGGGATGATACAAGGTTGGGGCGGGGGGGGTAGGAAGAATGATGAATACCATTGGGGTGAGAAGTACAGGGAAATAACCATGCACTACGCAGGACCCATTAATAGTAACATCTTTTGCTGACAGTTTGGGACCTTCCATTTATCACTTGTGTTTTCTGTAGCTTCCAGCAGTACAGGTGGACACCATGCAGCCTCAAGAAATTGTGGAGGAGGAAGAGCTGGAGCGGATGAAGTCCCTTCTCCAAAGGGAGAATCTTATTCGTAGTCTGGGTATTGTAGATCAGCTTACCCGTATGCTGCACCCTCCTCCACGATCCCAGAACAAACTCCCTACAAATCGGGTGAGAGCCCTTTCACAGTCTTATATAACATGGGGAAAAGGCGGTGTAAAATGTGTTAAGGGATAATGTTAGTTGGCTAATTCAGAATGATGCCTGACACAGTTGTTACATAAAACCAACAGTGAAAAGTTGGGGAAGCAACAGAGGCTGGGGTCTGGGTGGGGGGAGGGGTTGGACTCCTAGACTGCATCTGATCCCAAAATCCTTTGCTCTTTGACACTTGGATACAGTCAGGGAGCAGCAACTAGTATGTACTGTCCATGGCTCATGAGCTAGCTGGTCAGGATAATATACTCTCTTTTGTGTTTGAAGAGGTGTGGGGTATTGCTCCAACCTGCCACACTGAAATCAAAGCCAAAGCCTTAAATACTTAAGTCCCCTGCTGGCTTCTGAATGGCTCTTTTTCCAGAACTGCCAGGGCTTAGAATTAGGACTACTAAACAAAGTAGGCAACCACCTAAAATACAGTACGTCTTTGGGCCAAGGGTAAGGAAGTGCAACAAAGGATATATTTAACATTGTTTTTAAATAAATACATATATTTATAATGGCAGAAAAGTATGCTCTTCATGGCATGTTGATATTTTGTAATTAAGTCGAATGATTTTATAGCATTAGTGTCAAAACTCAAATTGAGATACGGCTGCATAGCGACTTAGAAAACCACAAATTAACATCGCCTGTGTTGTGCTATATTTTTATTTATTTTGTTAAACGTTTCCCAATTACATTTAATCTGGTTAGGCCACACTAGGGAACTGTAAGTTTGACCACCTTTGATTTACAGTACAACTTCAAATCTTCTGAAGAACACAATTTTCAAATGCAGGAAATTATAATTTTCAATCCTTGCCTAGGGCACACAAATGCCTTATCTTGATTCCGTTAGGGACCTGATATAAAGAGAAGTGGGTGGGTAAAAAGCAAAAAAACCCCAAAACTTTGTTGGACCTGCCCGAGTAGGCTACTTTTGTCAAAATCAAAAGGAAAAGTTGGTTGGATAGTGGTTCTTCTAGAAGGAACAGTTTTGGCCACCCATTTCTCCCCAAATGTCCCCCTTCCCAACAAAGATATAAGGCATTGCTCTTCTTCTAGGCTAGATTTCACCAGGACGGACTTGGCAACCGAGATGTACAGTCTGTGAATCTCATCCCTTTGTCCCTTCTAAGAGAAGGGTCTGTCCCAGAATTGGGCCCTAACTTCATACAACCAGTCCGGACTCACACACTCATTCCCAACATCCTGGGTCCACTGTCAAACATGAGAACAACCATCCCCCACCCTTCCCAGTGCCAGCTGCAGCCCAAGAACCTCAACTGGTTAGGTACCTCTTCTACAGGCAGTGGCTCCTGCTCACTCACAATGAAGAAGTCAGGCAGGCGCTATTTTTCCAGTGCTCGAGGCAAGCATGATAGCCGTAAGTACCTAAATATCTCACCTGAGAAATTTCCAATAAAGGGCTCTTTGCAGCCCTTTCCAAATGCTGGATTTAGTCACACTCCCACTTATCTAAGACATTCTGATTTTCCCACCCTTGCAAGGTTGTAATCATCTTTTCTCAACTAATTTAGCCTCTCCCACTGAGTCAAGTTCTATTAAGCACTCTGGGATAAATTCTTTCTGGCCCATACCTCAGCTAAAACTACAAAGAACATCCCATAGAGCATTAACAAGACTGTGGGAATGGGAAGTCCTTAGGCACTATGGAAGTTGGTTTACAAATAAATAAGCACTAAGCAGTGGGAAGGGCTCTTGAGGAAAAATTTCTTAGAAACCAAAGTAGCCTGCTGCTTTTAAAAGTGAAATGAAAAGGCCTAGATGAGTCTACAGGAATGTGAATTATACCTTGGGGTGAGGAAGGAGTTTTCTCACTCATCACAAGGAAAAAGCAAAATTATTTGGGAAACTAACTCCATGCTCCTAGCAGTCAGGAGAGTTTCGATGATGGATAACAGAGAACATATGGGTGCTGTAAATGGTAGGATTTCTTTCTAAATGCTATTTGGGTACCATATTCCCAATTTTGATAAAGTGGTCCAGGGCTGGGGAAAGAATGATCAGATAAAGTGACGTGGGCTCTGAGCAGGGTTCTAGCAGATCCTCAGGGCCCCGTGTTTTTATTTTAGAGAGCCAAACGAACCGAAGGCTAGAATCCATGAACCGGGCATTGGCAGGATCAGTGCCACCCTCCCTAACCCCAAGGCAGGGCTACCTTCTGCACCCTGAGAGAGAGGCAAGTGACTCGTGGGCTAGCTGCACCTTGCCCTCTATGATGGAATCCTGGCACAGAGCGACGACCCGCGAGCTGACACTGTGTCCTGCCTCGGCACCCCTTCTCCAGCACTCCAGTGCACTGGGTCTCCTCAACATCGGCCACCACAGGTAAGAGGAGCTCGCCCACCTCGAGGGGGTTGGCGGGGTTACTTAACCATCAGGATGTCATTTAATAACAGCGCCGAAGGAAAAATGGACGAGGTCTTGAGGATGCCCCAAACCCCTGGGTTCCAGGGAGGGCAGTGGGCGCGGCAGGCCGAAGAAAAACGGTCGGGGCAGTACTAGGGCGAGCCTCCAGGCTCATGCCCCCTCTGTCTCCCAGGTGATGGACCTGAGCCCAGGGCCGGAAGAATGAACCTACTTACTGGTCCCTGGAAATCAGAGAGCAGAGAGGTACCATCTGGGCCGAAAAGAGAGCAGACTACTCCCTGGGTCCGACCTCGGTCCCGAGCCCAGCGCGTCGCAACGCAGAGCCGAGCCCGGAGCCCAGGGAGGGCGTGGGGCTGCCGGTGCTCAGGAGGACGTCGGCGTGGTGCGGTGTGACGTGAGGCCCGGGGTGCGTGCGCCGGGGGAGGGGCGCGCCGCCTCCCCTCAACGCGGCTGGGGCCAAGACTGAGCTCTTCGCAACTGCATCAGTCTTTTTATTAAAGTTTTATAGAGTTTCCCTCCCCGCCTCTGATTCGCCCCGGCGTCTCGTGTTTCAGGGGCTGGACTAGGGGACCCTAGTCCCTGAGCTCAAGCCCCCTCACCTGTCACTCGAAACTGGGCTGTGAACCACACGACGGAGCCCCAGCTTCTCTCCTCGACATCCCGGAGACACTAGCGTTGCGCCCCTCGGCCCCCCTCTGCCGGTGGCGGTGGTCCCGAAGCCCGGGACGTCCCCGACCCCTTCCCGCGGTGCTGGTGGCATACGAGGCGGCCTTCCGGTGGGCTCGGTATTGAGCCGGCCGCTTCCGCTTCCTGTCCTGTCTGAGCAGCCGTGGGTGACGCAGGTCCGATTCCTTCTACTCCTCCGCCCGGCCTGACCGTGGCGGCGTCATGGCCGCTGCTTCTAACTTCTTGGCGGCCTCGAGGCTCCGCGCCGCCGCCGCGTGGTCTCGGCGCGTGGTGCGCGGTATGGCGGGACCGCCCGGGACCGGCTCGACGCTGGGACCTGGCTTAGGGGACGAGCACGACCTGGATTCGGACTGGGAGCCGGAGCGGGGACTGCAAGCGTTGGAGAGGTACCGAAGTCGCGGCTGTGACCATTCCCCGTCTGGGTCCCGTCCTCCCGAGAGCCCGGAGGTCCCGCGACCGGGTCTGGCTTCTCTTGCACTGTGGGCCAGCCACGCCCTCCTTCCTCGTGGCGAGCGACGTGTTCGGAGCAGCCTGGTAGCTGGAGGCAGGGTAGCGGAGGGAGGAGCAGGAGGCGAGGCCTTGGCCCCGGGGAAAGATGAAGACCCAGGGACTCAGAATCTGCCCGGCGGTGGCCTCCTCCCATGAGCTGAAATCTGGTTCTCTCCCGAGGGAGGCGTTGCATGCCTTTCACCCTTCTCCAGTGGAGGACTTTCAACCCGCTCCTTGTCTTTCTTTGCTGCTTCTATGTCTACAAGTATTAGTCTACCTGGCTCTTTATTTTTCCTTCTGTTTATCCTTGATGCTGTGAACCTTCACCACCATTTTCTGCAATACTCATTGAGGACTTCAATATTCATGTTGATGACTCCTCTGTTTAATACAGTTTATTACAATTTCACTTTCAATGCACACTAGCATGGTGGCACCTTAGACTTTGCCACCCTTTGGAATCATACCACCTTCAAAATGTAGAACTTTGAAATTCTCCTTTTTGATCCAATTTCATTACCCTGAGCCACTCCTCTTTTCTTACTCCTTAAACCTGTTGTTTGCTTTTGGGTTACCTCTAGCCCTTTACCTATCCCTATTCTCTCAGTTCATCTCATCTACTTTGGCTTCATTTTATGGCTCTAGGGAGCCTTCACCCCATTGTCTAACACTTTAATATTTTATGTTATCATCCTTAGAAGCCTTTGTCTCCCTGACTTTAAGCTAGTATGAACCTACAATTCTTCGTTAATGTTTCCAGGCTAATTACAAAATTAAACTGATTTTAGTCACCACAGATTTATGGTACTTAATCTTAGCTGCAGTTCAACAATTAAGCTCTTCTATCAGCTTCCCTGTCTCATTGTCATTGACTTTTTCAAACTTTTCTTTTTCCTTAAATTGTACTCCCACCTCCCATGCTTAACATGAGTGACAGTTTTCTACTTCATTGAAAAAATTGAAGTCATCTGTTGTTGGCTCTGTCAGGTGCCTGCCTTCATTCCTCATAACTTGTCAGCATTACCACTCTGTTGTTCCTTTTGGTCACAGAGTAATTGTTGTCTCTATTCCTCATTAAGACTTGATTCCTTCATCACCTTCCTTGATTCTATTTTTTCCTGTACTTTTCCCAGAACTTTGTGCCAGCAACCATTCCCTTTTGTATCACCTTCATTCTTTCCTTTTCTACTGGCCCTTTCCCATCTACTTACAAGTAGCTACAACTTAAATGTTCAGTAATTAAACATTCTTGAATCCTTTAAAAAAAATTGTTGCTTTCCTTTGACCTTCCATCCTGTCTACTAGTAATCCCATTTTTCTCCTTTTCACTGATAAGTTTCTGGAAAAAGTTGTCTATTTCTACCTCTTCTTCACTATTCACTTTCTGCAAATACTTATAATCTCACTTCAGATCCTACAACAATCTATTGAAACTCCTCAAAGGTCAACAATGATTCTTCAAATCACAAAATCCAATGTATTTTTTTTTCGGTCCATACTATCCTTGACCTATCTACAGCATTTGACAGTGTTGACACATAGTTGGTAGTCTACTTTCCTGGTTTTCCTCCTACCTCTCTCTTCTTTTTCAATTTTCTTGGCTCCTCTAAAAGCTTTAATGTGGAAGTACCCCCAAGCAGCTATCCTTTGTTCTCTTACCTTTTCTCTCTACGTTTTCTCCCTGGGCAATCGTATACACTGTCATGGTTTCAATTAGTACCTGTACAAAGTTGACTTACATTATTATATATGATTCTAGCTAGTACTCTGAGCTCTAAACTCCTCCTATAGGGCAACCATGTTGATTCCCATGAATAATACAAACTGAGCATTTCTAAAACTGAATTTGTTTTTTCTCAAAAAATTTTTATCTCCTCCTGACTTGTTTTTGTGCTTGGCACCATCATGCACTCAGTTAAAATCCTTGGAAATCCTCTTGTCTCATGTCTCGTACCAAGTCAGTTACCAACTCCTGTCATTTCCATCTCATGAGCGTCTCTTGGATGTCTTTGTTTATTCTCCATGCTAACCTCTGTAGGAGAGGCTGTCTTTACTACCTTCTTGGACTATTACAGAAACCTCTTTAAAAATGTTTATTTTGATACTGCAGTCAGTATGCCTCCTCATCCAAAGAACTCTGTCATTTAACAAAGAAAAAGACTTTAGCAAAACACACTGATACAACTGTCTATGATCGTTCACGCAACATTCCATACCAGTAGCCTCCCACCTTTCTACTGAGAGGAAAAGTACTGAGACCAAAATGAATCAGTTTATTTAATCTGAATTCACATGTGTTTACTTTGCATCAGTTCATACAAATATTCCTATGTTATTCTGAATTCCTTGTTTATTTTCTCTTGGCATAATGGATGTAATAGAATCCATTCATGTACTACAATTTGTTTAGCCATTCCCCAAATGACTGGCTTTGTTTTCAGTTTTTTCTCTTATAAAAGTGCTTTTATGAACATTTTGGTATAAGAGCAATAGCTTTTTAAAAAATCTTCCAGTATCAGTTCTCCAGTTCATCTTCTATCACTGTCAAGATAATCTTATTTATAGATGAAGTCATGTCACTGTTCTGTTGAAAAATCTAAAATGACTTGTGAGTACCTCCTGAATAAAGTTCAGACTCTTTGCTTTGAATTCAAGGCCCTCTACAATGTGGTGCCACTTCTCCTTCCAGGCTTATCTTACAATGTGCCACTTGGTGGGTGGCATGCCTACTGTCCATCTCCCTGCCAGATTTATGCTTTCCTAACTCTTTCTTTGCTTACATTGTTTTCTTTCCCTAAAATGTCTTTCCTCTTCACCTATTGACTTTCTATCCCATGGAAAGAAGGTTTCACTTGTAATCAAAGGACTATGGTTCAAATATTATAATACATAATCTTGGGCAAGTCACTTACTCTCAGTTTCCCCAGCTGTAAGATGAGGTGGTTGGACTAGAGGCCTCTTTCAGCTATACAGATATGTTCCTTGAATTGTCCTATGAATCCCAATTCAAATGTCACTTCCTACATTAAGCCTTTCTCCTTCCTGTCACAGTTAACAAACTGTGCCTCATATAGCACTTTATTTTACAGTTCTTTAATGCATTAGCAAAATGGAAAGAGTTCCGGATTTAGAGTTAGAGGGACCTTGGTTTAAATCTTGGCTGTGTGACTATTATTACCTGTATGACCATAAGCAAATCACTTAAAAATCTCGGCGTGAGCTCCTTTATCTGTAAAATAAGGTTGAGCTAGATGGTCTAAGGTCCATTCCAGTGCTAAATATGATTCCATACTATGCTCTGAGCTCTTGGAGGCCAGATACTGTGTCTTACCTTAACTTTTTATCTTCTTAGTATCAACCACAATGTTGTGCATGCACTTAAAGGTTTGCTGAATGAATTTTTGCATAGGGAAGATGGCAAAGAAACATAAGTCACTGTCAGCATATAGTAGAATATGTGAAGTGCACAAAAGAGTCATCAAGGATGATGCTGAAGTTCAAATAAGAGAGATATTTCTGAGAGAAACCTGAGGAAAAAATTCCATGGGAAAAATGGCATTTGAGTTGGGTTTTGATGAATAGGTAGAAATTCTGTAGGCAGAAATAGGTAAAGAGGGTATTTCAGGTATAAGGAACAGGTTCAGCGAAGGAAAAGGTTTTCTTAGCATGTCTGGACAGCTGTGCAGTGACCTGAATGAGTCAGGTGAACAAACCTGAGGCATGAAGGGAGATGGACTGGGTGTTTACGGAGGCAGTGCACTGTTTTGAGGACATGTTGCTTAATTTGTCTTTTACCATCTGTTCTTCTCTTCCAGAGCTCTGCAACGAAGGAAGAAAGAAATTCGATTCCGGAAAATCTGCAGACAAATGGAAGCCTCGGGTGCCCCACAAAGGGTCCTGAGTAGGAATGCCATGGAGCAAATCCGGTAGGAAGAATTGTATTGTCTTTTGTAGACTCTGATGTCCTCAGGGTCAGAATCCTGATGAGAAACCTAAGGCCATGTGGGAATAGGGCATAGTTCTGGGAGACCATGGAGCTGAAGCCTTTTAGGGCTTAGGGCATATAGCTAGTTACTTTTCCAATGTTGTGACAGCTTGGTGGAGGAAGGCTTAAAATTGGGGTGTGTATGTCCTGAGGTTGTTTAGGTGGTACTATAGTCATAGAAGGATAGAGAAAGCCATTTCTCCCTCTTCACTGAGCCAGTTTGGTTGGGATTAGATATAAAGATCTTATTTTGTATTTTTAGAAGCCTTATTAATTCTTTCTTAACCATGAATTTTGCTGACATCAGTCTGCATTGCAGCTTAGTGTTTGATCCATTCTCTCTAGGTATTTACGCAAGGAATTCTCTGAGGACTGGTCAGTTCCCAGATTAGCTGAAGGCTTTGGAGTCAGCACTGATGTGATCAGAAGGGTTTTAAAGAGTAAGTTTGTTCCCACACCAAAGCAGGAAATAAAGCAAGATCAGAAGATCCTCAGTAAAGCTAGGAATATCCACCAT